CTGTTAGCCTTCGCGCTAGCACTGACGCTACATTGCCTTACATGTATTAGCTCAGCGCTAGCACGACAAACAAGCTAAATTGTTGTTCTCCATCTATAGTTTCAGTTACAGGCTGAGTCATTTCTACCTTCTTCTCTCTGTCAACGCTCTCTGGTTTCATTTAAAAGAGTCAATCGTCAGAAATTGTCCAAGATTAACCTTCAGGGTGGATATAGCTCACTCACACCGAGGACCTATCCACGTCATCATTTACCCAGCATGCTTTGCGTGTAAATAAAATGGCCCTGTCCGTGTAAAAAAAACTAAACAGCTTACAGTATTTTTAGTCTTTATTTTACAGTTAAAATATACTTTTATCAAATAAAGTCTAATGTTACAACTAATCGGGGTACCTTTAAATAGTATATTGCAGATCATAACTAATCATGAGTTTATGCTGATGACGAATGAATGCATGAAAAATTGAACAATCTTGGAGTTTTTGTCACCATTCAACAAAAAAGGCTGTTATTTTCCTTTAAGAGGTGAACTGATTGAACCTGTATGTTATCTRTGCATTTGTTTGTCTCTGGAGCCCCCTGCAGCAGCAGGTGCAACACAGACCCCAACAACTGTTCAAGTTACAAGCTGAGCACATCGGTTTGAGTATCTATAGTAAGAGGAAAAAAAAATCAGACGTGCTGTAGATACCTGGGGGGGAAAGTGAAATGTAAATTGAGCAATAATTAGGGTGATAGGTTTTGTTTTGTTTTGTTTTGTTTTGTTTGATTACTTTTTATCCTAAATACTAACAGTTTCAGCATAAATACATGAAATATTCACTTTGATTAGGAGCTGCTACATTTAGGACATGTGTAGTGCACAACCAGTCTGCTCATTAAAGAAAAAACAAGCTGCAGTTAGGACACGTTTGGATTGTGATAAAGTATCCTCTGATGTAATTATTTCCAGTTTATTAAAAAGTGTTCCTAACTGCCATATAGTCAGCTTCCCTGCCTTTTTGCTCAGGCTTCATGCAGACATCGGCTCAGTTTGGGGCTCGTCGGGGGCCAAACGCGAGCTGGGATTCTGTTGGATGACGCGCAGGGGTGTGTTGTGTGTTGCTTCTGAGAACTGGCTTTGGGAAGAGGGTTATCTGCAGCTGATAAGGGCCACGTTTAAAAGGGTTGCGTTAGGATGAGAGTAAGCAACTGAGCGTCAGCTGGAGGGAGCGAGCCGAGCTCAGGGAGAGAATCTGATGAACCATGCTGCTGCTGCTGCTGCATGCACTCACTCTCTGTCTCGCCAACACACTGTTTGCTGCTGGGGGGTTCTGCATGCCTCTGTCGGACCAGGGGCCACACATMGCACACGGCTGGGGCCAGGTGGTCCGGCTCAGACACCTGTACTCTGCCAAACCAGGTCTTCACCTGCTGATTGGTGAGGATGGACAGATCCACGGTTCTGTGGAGCAAACTCTGTACAGTAAGTCAGAGCTGTTTGTCCCTCTGCGGATGTCTGTACAGCACAGTCCACAGGTTGGGATGGTTTTATTCATGTGAACTTTTGAACCACAGGCCTGCTGGAGATCCGTCCCGTGGATCCAGGTCTTGTTGTCATCAGAGGAGCAGCAACCACACGGTTCCTCTGCATGGAGAGGGATGGAACACTGTACTCATCGGTAAGAACTGCAAGGTGCACTTCATTTACCCATAGCTGACAATCATGTAGGAGGAAGGTAAAAAGATTAAATTTGTTGTCAGAAACATAACATTTTCCTCTGTAACTGGACTGATTAGGTGAATTGGAGTTTGTTTGTCCTTCTCTGTCAAATGTCATCCGGCTGACATGAACAACCCAGAAAACAAAATGTATTTTGTCGAAACACAGCCATAACYTTCCAAACACACAAAAATATCCAGTTTTCTTCTGTTTTACATTGTTGAAAGCAATCAGTCAAATAAACCTTCTCAAACTCACCAGCAAAGGTCCAGACTACGTTTAAGTGGGAATGTGAGTCCTGACTGACAACTCATACCATGACTTAAAGGAATACGTTACAGATTTTTATGTGGAGTTCTGTGTAAAGGAACAATCATTATCAGTGTTTCCTGTACTTTAGTGCTTTAGACCTGTGTTTAATTTGAATTAAGTATTTGTGATTGCAAGTATCAGCGAGCTGTTCTTTCAATTTGAGTCACTTCCACCAGGAGTTTAAATACCTGACGAAATAATCATGATACAAAAATCCATCCATCCATCCATCCATTTTCTGTACACGCTTCTTCCATTTCAGGGTGTGACGTCCAATTTTAAATCATGACTTTTTTCTGGACATCTATGAAATGTTGAAGATTAGAGTTGTTTCAGGCTCAAACTAGCCACATTCTGTTGATACAACCTGAACAGAACAATGTCCAAAGTGGATTTTGCCGCCTTAAAATAGCTCCTCCTCTCTTTGGGGGAGGGGTTAAGTGACACATGTGGACTGTGGTTGGGACAGGAAGGACATCTGGTGTAAAACAACTGTCAAGTCATCATGTGAGTTCAGTCACTGTGGTGAGTCCTGGAATACGAAGCAGTTAAAGGGAGAAAATAAAAAATAGTAATAATCTCTATTCTTGACCACAGGCTGCATTGGAATTGTTAACTCTTGCTGAATGTATGCACTTCAAATAACTACTGAAATCTATTTAAATAACTGAAATTCAAAAATTACACTTGTGTAAATGTTGATAACACAGGCTTTGCATGAATGACAATGTTTTTAAACTAAGTAATTAATTGAATAGTTTAAATTTCTATTTTTTAATGAATGAATGAATGATTGAATAATTGATTTAATTAGTTAATTAATTGAATTATTTATTTTTTGAATGAATGAATGAATGAATGAATGAATGAATGAATGAATGAATGATTTAAGTAGTTAATTCATTCATTCATTCATTCATTCATTTACTCATTAATAGGAGGTGTTTTATGACAACAGCAATCCACGTTGGTCTTGGCTGTGCTCAGCCTAGCCATTACCTCTCCGGTCCAGTCAGATTTAAAGGGGCAATATTATGTGTTTCTCAGGCATATATTTAAATACTATACCATAATAAAGTATCTATGTCACCTTTAGTTGTGATTAAAATGCTGTTTTTATGTTTGAATAGAAAATAAACTTATTTTCTCATCACTTCCTCTTCTAAACGCCTTAAAATTGGCCTCTGTCTCTTTAAGAACCACCTGCCACTTCTGTCCCGTCCCATTTCGGTGCGGGGAGGTCGCACGTGGGCTACGATGCAGTTTACTTGGCATCTGAAAATACATTTCCTCAAAGGTATTTTGAATCTGAAAAGAGCTTCACTGAGTGATCAGTAGTGTTAAGAGCAGCAGATAGCTAAAGTTTCAATTTCACTTTGCTCTGTTACTGCCGAGAGTCTGCAGGAGTCATGGGCGGGGTGTGTGTGGGGAGGGGGCTGGGGAGGTGTGCTCCGTGATGAGGAAGTTCGGAGTAAAGACACGTCCTAGAGGCGTTTCTGGTCCCAAAAGGCGTTTCTGGTCCCCACCTGTCATTTTGCTCCTCAGCATGGCTTCCTAAAAATGCTGCAGGATTTCTCAAACATGCATGAATGAGTCAAAGCAAGGCTTTGGGCATGTTTTTTATGACAGTATAATACATGATATAAAACTCAAAAAAGTTGATTTTATATGACATTGCCCCTTTAAACTTTTTTTTACCCTGAGTTCTTTCAAACAGCTATCTTTAGCAGGTATTAATTGTATAGAACTTTTCCACAGAAACAAAGTTAAAATTGTTCAAAAAGTTATTTCAAAACATCTGGACATCTGTACATAACATGTACATAACATGAGAATCTTTTTTCTGGCAATTGCACTTTTTCAGCTCTCATTTAACATATGTTAGCCTATGTTAGCCTAACAAAACATGCATAGATCTCAATAAACAAAAGGCCAAGCATTCCTTGAAGGCACAGATACAGTATTGTCTGCTTCCTTTTGTTTGAACTTTTAGGATAAGATAAGAATGTTCTTTATTGATCAGAAACATAGGTAACATTTTATAACTACACCTTATTAAGCCTTACTAAATCATTAATAAATGGTTAGTTATCCTTGAAAACATCATTAATTAAGAATGTTAATAAGCTATAATGCATGTATTAACACTTTACCCATGAAGGCTAATTACTTTCAAAACCAACATACTCATGGTTATTCATTCCTAATAATTCATGAATTTACTATTTTATATACTGTGTATGTAAATGCTCATGTAAATGTACTTTCACACCATGTGTTAAACATATATTAATGGTTAGAGACTGTTTGAATGAACTATGAGCTCCATAGGTGAAAAGGAACATTTGGCCCTTCAGGGTTTTTTCTACATTACCAAATATGTAAAAAACAAATAAAATAAATAAAAAAAGCTTTAATAGTATTTATTTCAGAAAGGTAAAAAAAAAGACTTGACAAACTACTAGCAAGGATTTGTAGATTGTAAATTCAAATGTTTCTTAACCATTAATACAGTGTTTTCAACAGGTGCCCCACTTTCATCAGGTCTGCCAATTAAAAAAAATTAAATCAATTGCAAATTTTAAATTTATGATTCATTGTAATAAAATAAACTATTTTAAAAGGTAAAAATAATAATAATACTTGTTCTGTTACATACTGCAGTGTTGCACCTACCATCAACTTGCAGCCTTGTATATATAATTTATTTTACCCAAATTCAGTGATAACTTAAATTGAAACTAAGTTTGTCCTTTCCTAAATTCTGTCTGTATCAACATCTGCTCACTAGCTTCACCTGAACAAAAAAAGTGGTATCATCTGCAAATTAAATACATTTTAAAAGCTTCAACACATTGACCAAATCATTCAAATAAACAGTTTTGGTCCAAGCACAGGACCCTGAGGAACTCATTATTGTTGCATAATTCAGATCTTACATTATTTAACTAACTGTTGCCTATTTTTTCAGATAATTAGAGACCCATTCTAGCTTATTCATTAATGAGGTTATGGTCTGTAGTGTCAAAAGCCTTCTTTAAATCAACAAAAATGCTAACACATAATGTTTTTGATCAACAGCATTTAGACTTAGGATTCAATGTTTGCACATATCATTTCACATTTACATTTAACCTTTAGTAAAAACTGTCAAAATGTAATAACAGTGAGCTAAATAACAATAGCATGTTAGTGGAAACTTCTAAACGAGAATTTTACACTCAGAAAGGGAGTTAAATAGTGAAAATGTGTTAGTGACATTTTTAACACTTTATTTTATACTTRGCTGCCCATTAAGGTTTGGGCCAAATTTTTAAAATAATATCATGCACAATCTCATTTTATACTTATACTGTCCATAACAATACTGCGAGAGTTCACACTCAGAGAAAACATCTGCAATGACTCTCAGTTATTTCTAGCTCTAACTGAATTAGCTGCTTTCTGAGAGTTGTGCTAAAATCCATCCAGACCCACTCACTGCATGTGTGTGTTCTCATATCACTCATAGCTCTCATGGGCTATTGATTGAAAATAAAATTTATTTAATTTCTGGATCTTATGCAACATTCCCCACATTTAGAGTCAGCAGCTCATGGTGCAAAGCTTAAAGGCAGCGACCCGTTTGTCAACGCACTGAAAGTTTAACCACTGAGCTCCTTCACTCTTATGTTTGGAGAGAAAAAGACACTTAAGCTTTTCCCTAAAGACACACACATTTCACGAAAGAATGAAACACAATTCATCCACACGCAGTATTCAAACTAAAGCTATTGATTGTTATAGGTGTGTCAAATGTTTTGCACTGTCAAAGACGTACCATTTGCTCAAGAAGGCTGTCAAACTGCACTTACAGTACACGTACAGAACATTCACCAATGATCCCCCTCTGTCATGTTGTCAGTCTGCTTCCATGTTCAGAAAACACTGCAGGCCCAGCAGCCATTCATTCAAACAGTTCAGCGGTTCATCAACCTTTGTCCGGTGTGGTGCAGGGTAGCAAGGTAGGACGTGTTTGCAAAGGGAAAAAGCTGAATGAAAAAGGCCAAGCCGCAGCAACAACAACCTTGGCCTCTGGCTGGCTGGCTGTTGCCAAAGTAAACAACCATCGAAGAATTACAGTGTTATTTATGCGGGTTTTTTTCCTTTTTTTTTACAACTTGTCCTGTTAAAACAAAACAAAACAGAACCATTTGTGAAGTTCTTTAAATTACACATTTGATCTTGACTAACAAGATGTCACAATATTATAACAACGCAATAAAGCCTGAGAATAACTGGCCTCCTGTTCAGGGTGTAACCCCTCCAACCCCCACCTAACATCTGTTGCCTAACATCTGTTTCAATAGACTTCAGGAAGTGAAAGCCTGAGCAGACGGTTTGAAAACTGATCAATTTAACTGATTGACTGCTGAGTCAACGTTCACACCATTCTTTCCCTGCTCAAATTTTAGCTACTTCAATATAAGTTTTAGATATTTCAGCCATCTGCGTGCCAATACAGCTATAGCTTTTGTTTTTTGTAAATTCTATACATTTCAAAATATTATACTTTATTTCAACTTTCACATTGAAATGCATTAAAAACCTTCAAAAATGTTGTCTTCTCTTTGAAAAGTCTTTCAGTATCCTCGCTCCATTTTGTTTTCTTATAATTTCTTGCCTCCTTTAACTTTCTTTTGTCTTCTTATGAAACTTTGATGTCACTTTTGTCTCATTGTGTGTCCATTTGTCTCAGTRTGCATCCTTTTTGTCATGTCTTTACATGCACTATTTTTCATTAGTTACTTTGTAATTTGTGTATTTTCGTGTCCTTACATTTGTCTTGTAATTTTAGTCGCCTATGTCTTATGCAACTTTTCCTTTTTGTCTCCATGTGCATCCATTTTGTCTTTTTGTGTTTTTTTGTTTCCTTATGCAACTTTTTGTTTTTTATGTCACTTTCTTTCCTTGCTGTCTTTTGCCTTCTTATACATCCATGTTCCCATGTTGCAACCTTTTTGTCCTTTTATAAACGTTCTGTTTATTTTCATGTCTTTGCTCATGCCTCTTATTTTTTTGTTTCTTTTTTGTTTMTTTTTTATCTAACAAAAGTTCAGCTATAATTTTGATTTATTTTCACCTTATTCACCAAATTCATTTTGCACTTATTCATACTGCATTCTCAAACAAAATACTATATTTTCTAGTTTATTTCTTGACTTTGTTAACAAGTTCAATTCAAGAAAAACTACAGAATTACAAATTCATGAACAGTTTAAAGGTGATTTATCATGCAAAATCCTATTTTTTAGTTGTTAAACACATTGAGGAGTGCATAAAAGTTGAATTTAGTTTCTCCTGGTCCTATGTTTATATTCTGTTTGGTCATATTTTTTATAGTTTTCTGCACTAAGTCAATTATTTGAGATGGAACTGTCAAATAAGTTCTGGACTTACCGACTAAAATTTGGTGATCTTCATTCTCCTCTGGCTCTGGGTCAGACTCTGGCTCTAACATGTGAGGCTGGATGGACAACTCTTCTGTTGTTGACTTCTTTCAATTCAATTGTCAATAAAAAGTTTCTGCACACTAAAAATGCTAATCCCCTCTCTCAAGCCAGAGTGGACTGGTCTGGAAGCCAGAAGGGGGGCGGGGCTTGAAACACCAGAAATAGCATCAAAATGAGCTGCTTTGAGAAACACCTCAGAAATTGCTGCGAGAGGGGCTTGTGGAGTTACAATAAGAAGGAATTCAGACCATTCAGATGTACTTTATATAAACACCAATTGAATGATTTAAATGTGAAAATAAAATATTTAAAAGTACGATTTTTCCACTTTAAGCCTAACAAAATGCAGATTGTTTTTCTCCCAGTCACTAATCATTTCATCAGAACTCGCAGTGCCTTAATTCTGTTCACAATGATTGTTCTCTTTGTTTTCCAGCACATATACAACAAAGCAGACTGCACCTTCAGAGAGCAGATCTTGGCAGATGGTTACAACGTCTACACCTCTGATGGACACGGAGTCCCCCTCAGTTTGGGAACCAACCAGCAGAGGCTGCAGGGTGTAGACCGAGGTGCTCCAGCTCTGGCCCGGTTCCTCCCCAGGATAAACACCCTCCAGCAGACCCTCTCGGCAGTGCCGGATGTCCCTGACCAGCCGGGTACAGTGCAAACAGAAGAGGGCATGGATGTGATGGACTCATTTGGAAAGATTTCTCAGATCATCCGCAGCCCGAGCTTCCATAAGAGCTGAGGCAGCAGCGCTGAGATCTCTGTGAAGGGATGTGTCCACGAGCTCTTCATGGCCTTGGAGTCTGGCTGACCAGCATGTAGGGACGGTTGTAGTCAGGACTCTGCAGTCAGACATGACTGAACCGAACATAAGACCAACGTCCTGCTGACTGGAGTGCTCTGTCTTACCTGAAGTTCTCCTCTTGTAAAAACTGAGTGACGTACAGAGGAGTGTGTCGGTTTCAAACTGAGAGAAGGGGACAGGTGCACATAAACGTCTGGAAAAAGAAATCATTTTCTCACATCTGAACTTTAAAGGCACATTAAAAAGCTGCTGTGACAATAAAATACTGAAATATGTTGAGGATCTTGTGAAGTCTTTTTGAGGGGAAAACATGAGCTTTGTTGAAGAACCTTTAGAGAGGCTCCAAGTTTAGTTGTCTTCGTCTGTAAAAGTCTTGTTTGATGGATCTTGCTGTATTTATTTAGTTATTTAAATGTGAATGCTTTTTGTGCTTTAATCAGTTTACCTCTATGTTCATAGTGATGTCTTTTTAAATGTATTTTTTTATTTGAAGTTTTTATTATGAAGCTTTGCAAATAGAAGCTGTGTAAATAGAAGTGTGCGTTTTTTATTAATTTTAGAACGTTTAGATATCTGCTTCRTGTACATGTCTAAGCACTTTGTACTTTGTTTAATGCAACAGCTGAGTTTCAATTCTTTGCATTCAAAGAAACAATAAATGTGTGCTTTGTGACTTCAGAATTTGAAAAACATTGTAATAACTCTTTATTTTCTGAGAAAAACTGCATAACTGTATTTCAGCCTTGTTGATTCAGTTTCTTAATATTAAAAGGAAAATATTGGATCAAGCATCAACGATGAAATCTTAATTTTAGGTTGTAGATTTTCGTAATAATTTAAAATGTGTTGCTTAGAAGACTCTCTRGTGACCCACAGTGGCTCAAATAATCATTACATCCAAAATACAAAAAATGACAGAAAAATGCAATAAAATATTACATAAGCAGTCAATCAATAGGACTTTATCACTTTTGGTTGAAAGACTACATTTAAGCTTTAAAGACAAAATTAAAATCCAGGCACATAAAATAGTTGGAGATTTTTTTTGCTGACCAACTCTTACGTTTTCATCATACTTAGACTTTTTCTATATATATA